CACACACAGGTCTCGAACATTTTTATCTCCAACAAAACTATAAACCTGAGGGTTAAAACCGATCTAATTAGCAAACGGATCTTCTGTTTAGTGTTGTATAATAGCCACGTACAGCATTTAAATTAAACCACATTCCAGCAATCAAAGTAGAACGCCATACCGCAAATGTCTTGTCTAATATACCCTGTGTCTGGAACAACCTCTAGTAACGAAGGTCCAGAAGGACTCGACCATTCAGAAAAATAAAATTCAATTTAAAAGGTCCATCAAATAGAAATTTATGGCCAAGAGAAGTAGGATTCACCAAGGAGAGAACTATTTCAATTAACGAGAGCAAATGAAGGCGCTTACAAGAGACAAGGGCGCTAGATATTGTAAAAGAATATATGTAAACCATCCACGAAGACGTTGGGAAACATAACCAGAATTGAAAAGTAGAATTCGTCTTGCGGGAGCGGCAACAGACACTGCTAGAACATAAATCACCAGTATTGATGGAGCCCCTTAATCAATGGTACTGTACCGTCAGCGACAAGAACATTTAAGCATTATTTAAATGAAATTAGGGGTCTGTAAATAGGACGGGTGATGCCTTTCAGGTAAAACACAATATAACTACAAACAATTCAAATTGGATTAAGTTGTCATGGCGAAGGATTTTTTATTATCTCGAACATTATTGTTAGGTCTATGTACTGTATTGGTTTGAGTTTCATCAGCTTTTCAACACCTTACCTAACACCTCGAAATGACCCGTAGATAACGTCTGCTTAAATCAACACACTTCCTGGGAGGTTTACCACAAATTTATATTTAACATTTTATTCACAGGACAAATTCTCACATTCAGGGAGAATCGCAGGACATAGCAATAATGGTGATTTTAAAGCCTCTAGGTAAATAAACTTTGTCCCTGATTATCTTGACAGCCGAGATGGAATTGAAATGCTATCTTGGAATCTGTATTCAAGGGTAGAACACTGTGTTGATTTAACCCTGAACTGGCTAGGTGCATCCGGGGCCTGGATCAATGTAATCAACCGCACAAATGTTTCCAAATGGGAACAAGATATCGCTGGGCCGTATCTGCGGATCAGACGTATGTGGTGAATGGCTGGACCCATAGAATGGCCGAGGCCTGTTGACAAGGAGATAGGGATACTCCATTGTATCTACCTTGGAAACAAAGTGTTATTCACGGGTTGATGAACAATTATCCGCTTGAATGAGGTGTCGGAAAGCGAGGAGTTGCGAAGGCTCAATTTGTATGTATATCGTTACTTGTGTAGGTAAGGGAAATTGAATTATCAATTGTATAACTGACACCTTACCACGGAAACAAATACTTTCTTCCAGTCTGACGTGCAATTTTCTGGATGAGCAACGTGTCAGAGAGTGAGAAATGAGTTTCATTAATACAAAGGCACAAAAGAAGCAGAATAACTCAATGTAAGCGAAATGCCGTCAATTTTCAATTCTATATATTATAGGTATATATGTCTTTCAAGTTATGTTCCCTCTCAAAAAGAAAAAATTAAAAGAAATTACTCAAAACGTAGATATTAGGGTACGATATGCCAATAGCTTGACATATCTATCAATCAGGCATGTGAATCTAAATGTGAGGTCAGCTGTAACATAACATGCACAGTCATCAAGCCTCGAGTTCTCCTCTCGATTTGGAACTTTGCCCCACCTCAATCCAAGTAACTAGTTTGTAAATTATGATTGAATCAATTTTATCTGAAACATCTTGCAGTTTTTGACGGTTTTCACGCCCATTATGAAGTCAGTTAAAAGGCTGGAAATCAGCGAATATCACAATAACGAGACATCTGAATATCTCAGTGGGTAAAACAGTGATTTAAATGAAGGAGTGTATGCCATCTTGTATCAATGAGTGCATTTTACCAATGGATGACGATGTTCGATTATGTTTATTCGTTATTCTACTTCTTGATCAAGCTAGACAAAACAGACAAAACGGGGCGATGGGGCAACCAAAAGGCACGTGGAAGCTTTAAAACATTTCAGTTCACAAAGATTTTATTGAATATTGTATACATATTCGAAAAACTTCATAACAAAGATTTTATTGAATATTGTATACAAATTCGAAAAACTTCATAACAAAGATTTTATTGAATATTGTATACATATTCATTTTTTTTTTAAAACAAACTGTCGATGAAAAAAGCTGATATAACATGGTATATATTAGGCAAAGTGTCGCTATTAACACAGGTAAATCACTTCACATATTCTAGCTAACATGTGCGTGATTGGTTCAATGTTAGTATCCGATATGAGCACGACTGGTTCCTTATTTGCTGTAAAAGAACAAGATGATATACGCGTGAAATCTACTTGAAACATCAACAAAAGACTTTCTGGTATCATGACAAGTGTTGATATTAAGATCTATGTTCTGTGCTCCAATCTGATTGGTTTTGATCCAATAGAAGATATGACAAGAAACAACGGCGAAATGACTTTAAAAAGTCAACCAGTGAAGACGGGAACATTCAACGCAAGAATGATATCACGTTCACCGACAGACTAGGTTACATTAATATCAAGAATATGTTACTGCTTCATTAGGGGTTCAATTCAACTCAACTCTCTTATATATCTCACTTTGACGTTTTATTTCAATATCCAAAATAATAATTGTTTGGACGTCGGTATTACTATCTGGTAAGACGTACTGTTTTCCACGGCTTCACATCTTAAACAAAGAACGAACAAACTATCTCATTCAAAAAGCGGATCGCAAGACAATCCTTCCCCGCGAATTAAATTAAATGTTCAAACATCATCGCTTGTTGATTTGTTCTTGCTTATTTACAGAACTTTAGATTTGTCTTTTCTAAAACCGATAACAATTTGATGATATCTGTCATCAAATCTTGGCAAAACAAAACCTGTATCTGATCCTCTTAAATCTCCAGTAACAAAAGATACCCTACTTGCTCTAACAGTGGCAATCATCCGACTCGTGGTAGAATATAGACATGATGAAATTTAACATTGGTTGTAGGGAGATGGTTCTCTACCGAATGAACTCCAATGTGATTTTTTTCAGCAAGTATGGACTGCGTCCGACATGACGAAATATTCTATATTTTTGCAGCATTATCAATTGATCCGCTATATATTTATAGAGAATTACACTGTATGCCTCTGTAATGATTTAAGCACAATGGTGTCTATAGTTAAGTGTTGGAGGTAATCAGTTATATTACCTGTACATGATACGTATTTCCATTCCAACAGACTGATTCCTATATACTAATACAGTTTCATATCGGCATAATGTTTGTAGAGAGCATGGACGTCCATTGAGCATTACAAGTGTCCTTTAGATCAGAATGAATAGTAATTCCAATGAAACAATATCCAGGGGTTTTGATACCAGTGCAATCGACATAGATACTAAGTACAGGACATTTGACCGTTAACTTACATATGTTGTAGAACGTTTAACAAGCTGGATTCCTACATACATATAAGGAACAAGAACACCAGTAGTATAGCATAAAACACATTTCCAGCTTACTTCTGTATCCAAGGTTTTAGAGCCGACAAATAGGATCTGTTCCCTCATACACTTTATTATTGGACAATTCAGAAGCATCGACTTGTTGATTGGGGCAATTACTGGAAGAAGAAGAAGAATTCCAATTGAAGCTGTTGATAGGACGTTAAACTCAATAAAACCACATCAATTAGTTTCCTTATTAGAACTACTGGATGCTGTCATTTGGTTTCCTTATTAGAACTACTGGATGCTGTCATTTGGTTTCCTTATTAGAACTACTGGATGCTGTCAATAGTTTCTTAACACATTTGCATACTTGGCAATGGCTTTTTCAAAGAGACTTTTTGTTTTTGTTTTTTGTATTGTTTTATGTCCTATCTCCATTTTCAGTCTTTTTGGCCTAAAGAGGATTGTTTTAGTTCACAAAAAATAAATAAAAAAATACAACAAACATTTCTTATGGACAACTCATACAATGCACATCTGCTGTAAAACAGAATTAATTTTCCGTTTATTTCACAACATGTAAGTTTGTGATATTTAACCATTATTTCCTGTTCAGCCATTAATCTCCACATTTAGCAGAGTTGATGGATGATATTGACACCTAGTATAACCACATATAACACTGTAGGATATCACACGCTCTGGGACAAATACGAAGTTAAATTCTTTCTCCGTTACTTGTGACACATCAAAGTGTTGGAATACTTTTATAAAAGTGATGTCGACTGCGTACGCGGTACAGCAGTGATTCACACCCCTCAATTGCTGATCATACCGGTAAATATGGCAGCATGAACCCCCTCCGGTCAACAGACATCAACACACCGTGACCAATTGTTTTTATCCCAAACTCAATCAGTTTATTTCTGTCACTCATTGCCACTGTGTATAACATATATAAACTACCACATGTAGTAGACAATAGGGCATTAGTGAACTGACCCGTCAAACTGGAAAATATCTCCTGTATTTTCAAATAGATTTATAGCTTCTCTAGGAAATAAAGAAATATGAAATGTCCATAGGCAAGATTTATCATTGGCAATTCATTTTGATTTCTTAATGATATGTGTAGTATTCCTATCAACATACTGACACAAACAGCAGCGTGTCTGAAGGGGAGTTTTGTCTTGTATTCATGCCAGTATGAACTATCGTAGAAATTATTTAGATTACTCACATCGTTGTAAATCAATATATTGCATGAACTTCAAATTTTCTCTGTTGTTACATGTTTTGTTATTTGCCTTCAAGTAACTGTTAAACAAAAGTTTAGAAATACAAAATCAAACTGAAGCGTTCATCACTATTTCAATGAGGCAGATATTGCAGACAGTATCACAACAGTCAATCCACTAAGCTGTGATTACTTCCCTTTACAATTAACTGAAAAAGGAATTATTTTAAACAAAAATACAAAAAAGTCAACAAACACGACAAAAACATTTTTACATTTGTACAAATTTAATAAATAAATAACAAGGATTCCTAATCAACAATTTGACTAGCAAAAGTTGAATGATATTAGCCAAATATAGCACACTGCTGTACTTTTGCTAAGTATGTGTATTCTTATTAATTCGTATAGTAAAATAACACGTTTTAGCAGTTGTAACCATAACCCAAAAATATCTATTGTGGTGTCATTTGACATGTCATCATGATATGTCAACAATAACTGTTTAAAAAACAACAAAGAGGGTTTGATGGTTCACAGCAATAGCAAAACTACCAAAAACATTATTTGTGTAGCTGCTTAAGGAGGTTGTGACAACCCAGCTGTTATCTGGAATCCAGCACAACCTATGTTTTGTTGAACCTTCTGCTAAAAAATGCAAACCAATTGGTAAAGGGCAATGGTCTGATCTTCAAGTAGAACAAAATACATATTTACCTCAAACCCAGCAAACAATAGATTATTTATTACATGTTTTAGACTGTGAAAGGACTGTAACCGAGTTATTGTAAAGATTGCATTCATAATTTCACAAGTATCTGATTGGAAGAAATAATCAAAAATCTTTAAATATCACGATAAAGATGTCGCCCCAATTTTTTTTTTTGTAGAATGCTACCAGGTATACCATCCATAAGATGAAAGTAACAGAGAAGGATAAGTCCATGTCAGCAAAGCTAGGAGATAATATCCTGTCTGACCCGCTCCTCGGACAAAATGGTCTGTCCCACATCAGGAACATCCTCCGCTATAACGGTTTACCATGTCAGCAATGCTAGGAGATAATATCCTATCTGACCCGCTCCTCTGACAAAATGGTCTGTCTCACATCAGGAACATCCTCCGCTGTAACGGTTTACCATGTCAGCAATGCTAGGAGATAATATCCTGTCTGACCCGCTCCTCGGACAAAATGGTCTGTCCCACATCAGAAACATCCTCCGCTATAACGGTTTACCATGTCAGCAATGCTAGGAGATAATATCCTGTCTGACCCGCTCCTCGGACAAAATGGTCTGTCCCACATCAGGAACATCCTCTGCTATAATGGTTTACCATGTCAGCAATGCTAGGAGATAATATCCTGTCTGACCCGCTCCTGTGACAAAATGGTCTGTCCCACATCAGGAACATCCTCTGCAATAACAGTCACTTTACCCTTGCAACATGTCGCATTACCAGTGGTCTGCTCCTCTCCGTCATCATCCTGTATCTGACACAGAAGGTTGTCATTCTCGTACGTTGGAAAGAAATACCTGGTGGGAAAAATAAAGACAGTTAGGACAGTAAAGATACAAAAGTGTCAACAAAACCATAGTTCCATCTAAAAATCAGTAAAACTAGAGCAAAATGTAAACAAAGGAAATATTTACAAGGAGAACATGACAAGGGTGTTCCGGAAGGGGAAAACGTCTCCTGCTTCATCGACGACCCCTGCCATGTAAATAAAGGTCACATCCAAGTAATGTTACGTCCTCACATCAAGAACTTGGGTAATGACAATGAGCATTATAAAAAACATCGACCTTCATATCACACAAAGAGACAGCATGTTTCCCTGTGAGATCATGATAGCGACCATAACACTTGTCCAAAGTCTTCATCAACCTGATCTTTGGAAATTCTATCTTGTAAGTTTGTCCGTCAGCAGTCGACATCTATCACGGAAACCCTGTGTTGTAAGTTTGTCCGTCAGTAGTCGACATCTATCACGGAAACCCTGTGTTGTACGTTTGTCCGTCAGCAGTCGACATCTATCACGGAATCCCTGTGTTGTAAGTTTGTCCGTCAGTAGTCGACATCTATCACGGAAACCCTGTGTTGTAAGTTTGTCTGTCAGTAGTTGACATTTATCACGGAAACCCTGTGTTGTACGTTTGTCCGTCAGCAGTCGACATCTATCACGGAAACCATGTGTTGTAAGTTTGTCTGTCAACAGTCGACATCTATCATGGAAACCATGTGTTGTTAGTTTGTCCATCAGTAGTCGACAGCTGTCACGGAAACCCTGTGTTGTAAGTTTGTCCGTCAGTAGTCGACATCTATCACGGAAACCCTGTGTTGTAAGTTTGTCCGTCAGTAGTCGACACCTATCACGGAAACCCCGTGTTGTAAGTTTGTCCGTCAGTAGTCGACAGCTATCAAGGAAGTCATGACATTCAGATCAAGCTCTCGAATACTGAATCAACTGGTACATATTAACACCATATTAGGGGATGCAATGGTGTTACTGTCAAGAAAGGGAAAGTTTATGACAGCAAAGTTGATATTGTCCCATTTATCATACAGCTTAGTAGTAAGCTGTCCCTGTTGTTCACGTTGCAAGTAAAGACCGAGGAAAGAACCTGAAGAAGAAGAAGAGTCTGTAGTGCCCTTGATTTCAAGCTCAGGAGGGTATCTCCCATTGGTGTCAGAGGAAATATCAACTAACAACAAGCATGGACTATCTGACCTCATTGATCCCACGTACACCATAGTTTTATTTTGTTTAACATTCTATTAACAGCTGAGGTCATTTAAGAATTTGCCACCATGGATTCAAGCTTTAGACATAAAACACTGAAGATTCAAGCTTTAGACATAAAACACTGAGGATTCAAAGCTGGAACATGTCACTTGTTGAAGCAGGATACACATTTTGCAGGACCATCGTGAAAATTTAGAAACATCGAGACTTCGACTCATGAATGTTGAACTTCAAAAATCTTTAAGATTACTGTATAAGACCGAATGTGATTGTAAAGTGATGGAACACAAACAAGAAATTTAATTTGAAATCAATAAATATTGGATTTACAGTTATTAGCAAAATATTTTTTATATATGTTTATACACTGTTGTTCGCATGTTTGGGTGTTAAAATGACCCCAGGACATTTCAATGTTCTCATACAGGTTATTGTTTTACTTTGATATATTAGTCGTTACCTTTATCATTATTTGAAATTGCAAGAAACTTGACTCATTAAAAGTTTTATTCATGAATAGATTATTAGAAGTGTTATATAAAGAAAAAGTTCAGGACTTTGCCCAAGTTTGACACATTCAGAAATTTGAATCTTCGAAGTTCGATTTATGTAGGTTTGACTGAATTCTTGTTGAAGAGTGAAGTATCCCTAATGTGACATACAAGCTGATACCTCCAATACCAAGGAATCAAGCTTTACATGTCCCATACAAAAGTCTTTTATTTGCAATATTCCCCATGAAAGAATCAAGTTTAAGACAAACCATAATAACAATAATTCAGATTTAAGACACCCCACACCAAGAATTCTAGTTAAAGACAACCCAAACCAAAGATTTAAGTTTAATAACCAAATACTCATGTTTGAAACTTTCCAAAGATTCAAGCTTAAGATAAAATCCAAACCAAAGATTCAAGTTTGATATATTCAACACCAAATACTCAAGTTTAAGATAATCCTTAACCAAATACTCATGTTTGAGACTTTCTACATTCAACACCTCATATTCAAGAACAATACCTCCTTAATCAAATATTCATGTTTGAGACCTTCCAAAGATTCAAGTTTAAGATAATCCTTAACCAAATACTAATGTTTGAGACCTTCCAAAGATTCATGTTTAAGATAATCCTTAACCAAATACTCATGTTTGCGACCTTCCAAAGATTCATGTTTAAGATAATCCTTAACCAAATACTCATGTTTGCGACCTTCCAAAGATTCATGTTTAAGATAATCCTTAACCAAATTCTCATGTTTGAGACTTTCGAAAGGTTCAAGTTTAAGATAATCCTTAACAAAATACTCATGTTTGAGACTTTCGAAAGATTCAAGTTTAAGATAATCCTTAACCAAATACTCATGTTTGAGACTTTCGAAAGATTCAAGTTTAAGATAATCCTTAACCAAATACTCATGTTTGAGACCTTCCAAAGATTCAAGTTTAAGATAATCCTTAACCATATACTCATGTTTGAGACCTTCCAAAGATTCAAGTTTAAGACAATCCTTAACCAAATATTCAAGTTTTAGACATCCCACTACAAAGATTCAGGTTTTGAGATATTGAACACAGAGGATTCAAACATGAAATACAAATGTACCAAGGTTTCCAGGACAACAGTAGAGGTAATTTTTTACGTTACATCAAAAGTACATAATACTGTGTGTCCTTTTTTGTAACACTGAACAAACTTTTTGAATATGGTCAATCAATGCCAGAAGATGTACTTAAACTATAGAGTTTCATTGGGGATTAGATGTTTGGCTTCATAAAGAAGGCCATTGGAGACATGCAAGCCTCAGCTAGATATTGTATTAATGAAAAGGTATAGGTTTCAGCCAAATTCTGAAACCTATTCCACTAGAATTGAATGGTCAGTTTTGATTTGAAAGTCCGCCACCAGACCATGCCCGTCTGGTGAATGCTGTAGTGTAAGTGACCTGGTGACCGTACCAGTATGAATGTGTCCGCCCCCCGCCCCTCCCAGTGTTATACCTAACCCTTACAGATAGCTGGTCTTCAGACATCCCACACAAAAACACACTCATATAAATTACCCAAATGTTACTTTATCAAAAGAAAAAAAAATCCTATCATGAAACCCCATCTTGAAAAAAGATCTGGGGAAAGTATACAAATCTCTTGAATTTAGAATGGATTTAAAGAGACAGTATACATTGACATGATAAATGGTCGACTTTGAAATCAGAACCCTACTTAATTTTGTCTGATGACAAGGGACCCTGTGGTGGCATGCTGTGGCCAGTGATACCGAATTAACACACACTTCCTCTGGAGCGAGCCATGCTCCTACCGGGCCAGCTCATCAACATATGGCCACCGGCGGTCCCGAACCTACCTGTGAGTTCTCGCCTTGACTGGCGTTAAGTCGTTACTTTGTCTGCTACAGGTGTGCAAATAATTATTCTTAGCTTACTTTTTGTGTCACATAAACGTTATACAATCTGCCACTTGTCTTATCAATTTAGGGATAAGTTTGGTAAGGTTTTACAATTTTGTGTCAACTCTGGTGATATCTCTGTCGATAAACACTCCCTGAGACTGCATGTAGTACTCTCCTAATGTGAGAGGAACAGTAGGAGTAACATTTATTGGGGAACAGTAGGAGTAGCATTTATTGGGGAACAGTAGGAGTAGCATTTATTGGGGAACAGTAGGAGTAACATTTATTGGGGAACAGTAGGAGTAGCATTTATTGGGGAACAGTAGGAGTA